TGACTTACTTAAACTACTCTATTGTTTTATTATGCCTTAAAAATGTTTTTAGTGGTTGTCCTAGAGTTGACAATATATATCACATTACTCTTAATCTACCTTCAAATAATATTTTGCTTCATGTGTAGTGTAAGGACCTTATAACAAAACACTCCCAATTTTTGTGTGATTATTGTCATACACTTTACTTTATATGTTATAAATACATATTACAGTATTACTCTTTTGCTTCAGACCATCAATTATATTTAGATCATTTAAAATAAGAAAAAAATGGACGTGGTTCCATAGTGTAGCAGTTAGCACGTCTGCTTTACATGCAGAAAGTCCTGGATTTGAGCCCCAGTGGAGCCACGATCCATGATCTATGGCCATGCCACCCTGAACAGACCCGATGTCTGAAGTTGAGTAGGGTTGGGTCTGGTTAGTACTTGGATGGGAGACCACCTAGGAAAACCAGGTGCTGTAGGCATAAATAGTAATAAAAAGTAAAAATAAATAAATAAAATAAGAAAAAAATAAATTTTATCTTTACCTTTATAAATGTCATTTCCAGCACACTTCATTTCTTTATATAGATGTGAATTTTTGTGTTATGATATTCCTTCTGCCTGAAGGAATTTCTTTTAACATTTTTTTTTGTAGTGAAGGTCTGCTGGTAATTAATTTTATTAGTTTTGTTTGAAAAAGTCTTTATTTCTCCTTTATTTTTGAAAGAAATCTTCATTGGTCATGGAATTCTGGGTTGGTCAATTTTTCTTTCAGTACTTTAGAGATATCATTCCATTATCTCTGGCTTGCATATGAGAAGTCATTTGTAACTCTCATCTTCATTCTTCTGTGTGTGATGTATTTCCACCTTCCCTACTCCATCTTGCCACAGAGTTTTCCATTTGTTATTTTTTTTAGCAGTTTGAATATAGTTTGTCTACATTTTTTACTTGCTTTTTAAAATTTTAATCAATTTATTTTAGTTTCAATTGTATAGTACATTGGTTAGACATCTACATAGTTAATAAAATGATCCCCCCAATTGCCCCCTCCCTCCCCTGACCCTCCACCTAGCCAATGTATTAATGCTAACTGCATACCCTACA